ATATGAATTTCCAGCAGATATAACCATTTTGATATATATACGGATGATAATAAAGTACTCTAGTAGAGGAATGTGACACACTCGAACCCATGGGCATCTCTGCGGCCATCATAATCATAATCATAATCATAATGAGCCGTTATCATGTGATCTCTGGCGGAGCCGGAACGAGCAATTACTGAAGAATCCCAAACATTTAATCCACATCTCTGATCACACACACACACACACACACACACACATATGCTCAAAGACACACACATATATGCTCAAACACACAGCAAACACACACACACACACACGCTCAAAGACACACACATATATGCTCAAACACACACACACACACACTGAAGGCTTGTATAAGGATGTATGAGTGTATATAGTGTTGCTGAGTAGGCAGTTAGTGGATTTTGCTTACTAAACTACAAGCTCATCTAACGTACATAAACACACACTCTCTCTCACACACACACACACACACACGAGAGAGAGATATGCTGCAATTAATAGAGACTGGAGGAAAAGCAATATAAACATCAAAACACCGTAAAGTGCCTTTTGAAATCTTGTCAGATCTAATTACCTTCTGCAATGTACACACACACACACACACACACACACACACAATCTCTGTCTCATACACACACACACACACACAGTGCTCTGCATCCTCAGCTTAATAGGAATTCAATGCATATGATTTTCACCAGCTGGACCATAAAACATCTGAAAAAATCCCAGAGACAGTCAGAGCACAACTCATGAACACACACACACACACACACACACACACACACCACGGCGATGAGTTTCACACAGGTCTCCATCGCTCAGCATCAGCATCAGCAGAACATGCATAAATGCAGCTAATTAATATTCATGAACTGAATTGTTATTATCTTAAAAACTGCACTTCCACACACACACACACACACACACACACACACACACACACACACACACACACACACACACGCACATGCACACGCACACGCACACGCACACACAGCAGAGTTCCCACAGAACGTTCTCGAGCACCAAGGAATGTTAATGTGGATCTGGAACAAAGACTGTGAGATGTCAATGAGTGACCTAATGCAGACTTAATGAGCACTGCTGTGACACACACACACACACTCACACACACACACACTCACAGTCTGTCCGCAGACTCTCACAGCGAGTGTTTGTTAGTAAACTCATAGGACGAGTGGGAGGATGTTCATCTGTGAAACAGACGGATCCATCAGACCTGGAACTCATCACACACACACACACACACACACACACACATACACACACACCAGACGGATCTATCAGACATGAAGAACAAAGTCCAGAAATAATCTGTGTCCCGGATCAGACCTGGAAGTCATCACACACACACACACACACATGAAAACGCATCACATCAACAACATGCCTTCAGCTCGTCACTGATTGGCTGATGTGTGTCTGTATAAACCACAGCAAAGTTAAAACGAGCTCAACTTCCTCTTCCTCTTCCAGCTGTTTGTGAACCTGTCTGAAGCAGAACGCACTCTTCATTAAAAACACTGACTGACCTATGACCTAACTGATAAAATAAAACAAACCTGAACTGAAATAAAATAAAATATGATTTATTTAAAACTTTTATTAATTTCAGCTAGTTGGCAAGGCAAAAATGTATTTAAACGCACACTGAACGCAGCTGTGATGATGTCACACTGATATTTGCATACAGAAATGTGACTGGTTTTCAATCTTGCATTTATTTGCATTATTATTTGTGATTGTTCTGTTCTTTCGTGAATCTATGAAACACGTTCACATCCTGATTCTCAGAGACAGACCAAACAAGATGCATGTGGAGTTTCACACAAAACCAAACACTTAAACATGTGACTCGGTCAGCAGAATTTACTACAGTATTTCTGAGGTCATGAACTGCTTTATGGCTCGTCGTGTGATTAGTAAATATGAGAGAACCTTTATCTGCTCATTAATGAATCAGTTTGCACTGGTAAACACTCACAGTAACATCAGAGATCGCTTCATGATGACTCAAAATAAATATAATATATCAACCAGAAGATATAACCATCAAAACAACCCACAGACGGCTTCTCCTCCACGACCAGCCGGAAACTACTGAACATCCTCTCGAAACCTCAGTCATGTTCAGGAGCTTCGCTCAAACTAAAGCCAGCGGCTCCAACCACACAGACTAAATATTTAGTTAAAGCGTGTGTGTAAAGAAGCGCCATGAACTACAGCGGCAGACGGACACATACACACACACACACATGTTCAAGGTTATTATAATGTACTGAGACTAAAAGTACATTTAAAAAGCATTTCCTTTACTTAAAATAAAATAAACAATAACTTTGTTTAGTATCTGTTCATAATGAAGGCCTGAAACACAATATATAAATCAATATATCACATGTTAGTCTGGGCAAAAAATAGCAGAGCATAATCGTACAGGCCGAGATGAGATTACGCTGCATGATAATCTGATGGGATTAAAGCGCAAGCAAATCCAGCCTGTGTTTCTCCTGCAGTCACACACACACACACACATTTTATTTTATAAAAAAAAAAAAAAATTATTATTATTTCTTATTTTATTTCTTTTTATTTCTTAATTATTATTATTATTTTTTTACTTCATATACTGTGCTTTCCTAGTAAATTGTATTTTTATATTGTATTAAAATAACCATCACTGTTACATGATTTTTATATTTTAATTGTTTTTGTAATGTAATTTTATCTTGTCATGTGATAGGACTACAGATGGAAATTAGCATAGTGCTAAATCCGGTGCAGCCATCTTTTCAATGTAACTGCACACTGTCCTGTTATAAATAAATAAATAAATCAAATCACACACACACTTCAGTTCTCCGGAGAACGAGCTGATAGTCAGGCTATTTTCCTCATCTTGTGTTCAGGTTTTCGTGACCCTCGCTGTGGGTCTCGCTCTCGCCGCAGACGCTCAGACGCTTGTGCACAGAAATCATGGCCTCTTTTTAGCGCCTTGTTAAACGACGTGTCGAAGGGAAACCAGATTTCACACGACATCACTGGCAGAGACATAAACACGTTTTATAAGATCACTCGCCTTTCGTCAGACAAACCCGCACCATTAATTATCCTGCAGCGGCCAAATGTTTGTTTTTTGTGTGTTGATCTTTTAAAGTCTCCTGTAGTCGATCATTTCATCTTTGATCACCACAATTACATATTTAAACACTTTTCCTATAAAAAAAGATCTTCATGCCTTTAAATATCTTGAATGTAACTCGACACCCTCGATACGTGGTTCTGTGAATATGCAAATGAGCCCCGCCTCCACTCACTCACTCACTCAGCTCAGAGATCCACTGGTTGACGACAGAGACATATGTGATGCGATCTGGGAAAACCCGGCGGATGTCGCGAATATAGATTAAATGTCCGTTTTTTGCCAAAATTGGGTTTTCATTAAATTTTTATTCTATAACATCTTGTTTATCATCTCTGAATATATCTTGGGAAAATTCACTAGTTTAGTGCAGAAAAATAGCGATTTATAATGTCCAGCTGAAAAGACTGTTTCTCTTTAAGAACACATGCGGCAAATAACGATACACACACTCCCTCTTCTCTGAATTAGGGCTGTTGGAACGAATTCCGAAATTCGAATATAATTCGGAATTTTAAAAAAAATCAATACTATTCGAATGCTAAAGTTACTATTCGAATATTGCTTATATATAAGTGACCAGGTGTAAACGGCCCCTTATCGCTTTCTTATTAACAATAGGAGAGCGCGGGACTAGCTTTCGTGTGGCACATTCGCAAGGTCTCGTTCACTCCCTCTCTGCCATGCACGCGCAGCGCGCTATAAATGTTATGCGCGGATTCCAGGAGATTTTAACTAATTTGCGGTCATCAGGGAGACGCTATCAATATGCGAGTGACTCCCGGAACTTCCGACGCGATATAATGATCACATCACCTCAGATCTGAGCCCCTGTTCATCAAGCCAACGCGCCGCAGTCTATTGCAAATCAAAGTGAAAGTAAGTCGCAGACGCTTAACACGACCATCTTCATTAAACGTAATGAAATGATATTACCAGTTCTGTTGCCGCTCTCTCATTGCCGTCTTTGCTGATATTGAAATTAGCCGATGATCAATAAAATGCAGCTCAAATCTGTTGCTTTCGGTGACGTGCACTTCAGTACATCCGTATATAGCGCGGGAATTGAAGATCGGATTTATATCGGTTTTGCAAAAACACATTTATGTGAGCAGGTGTAAATGGATTGTTTTGATAAATCAGAGCGATCCGATCTGAAGTGGCCAGGTGTAAACAGCCACTAAATGTTTATTGTAGTAATGTTAGATGTCCCTCTAGTGGGCCGAACGTGTAACAACAACCACAGGCTATAGTGGCATTGACGATCCATAAGAATGTGTAATGTCGTAAATATTAATAATAGGATAAATTTGAGCATTTAATATTCGAATATTATTTGAATATTACATAAAATAAGGAATGGAATTCGAATAGAGGAAGATTGACAGCCCTAGACTGAACACTACAAAGACAGTTCACCATCAAAATAAACCACATAACAGAATAAAGTCCAGTCCTGGGCCAACTACAACGGCACGCACGTTTTTATTTATTTATTTTTATCCAGCGTTATCGTGTGTGTGATGCGCAGCACAGTCTGAAGCTGCTCGTTTAGAAGACTTTGCTCGCCTCTCAGTCGTCTAATTTCAGAACGGTTTTCACAGGATGAATTTTGAGTTCGTAAGCTTTCGAATGAGACCTAATCTATAATTTGTGATACGAAAAGAAGCAATAAAAAAGGGAGCGCAAGTCGTCAGACCGCTAATTAAACCTGTTTTTCTCAAAATTCCATTATTGACAATCACAGTGATCATGTGACATAACCTGTACTTGGATGTTTAATGTGTGTGTGTGAGTATACCCGCGGTGAACTGAAGCGCCTCAC